AGTGAGTAATAGCAATGCTGAGGAGGAAGCGGCCAAGCTCCCACACTGCTGGGGAGAGAAGAAACCAAGATAGCCGGCTGAGGACAAGTGGCAGGATTTAGTAACACACAGGGAGGCGGGGACACTGCGGCCACTTTTGGGTGTGGGTCCTAGCCACAGCCCCCAGAACGTCCACAAGCCGGAACTAAGTCTCTATGCAAATGACGGTCAGGAGCGAACCTGAGCTCCCCCACCCCTACCCCTGCACCCAGCAGCGCGTCTGAGACCAATTGGTCCTCACTCTTCTAGGGGCTGGGGTTCTGCACCCTTTGAGCCCTCATCTGTTCCAGATTGAGACAGCCTTTTCCTTTGGCCTGCTAGAGCACGATTAAGAGGGCCAGGTGTCCAGCTTCCCAGCCCCGTTCTCTCCCAGCAGCCCACAGAGCCCGGCTCTGCTAACAGTTGCCTTTCGTGTTTGACTTGGGCTTGAGATGTTAAACAAACAGTGGCTCTTGACAAATGCAAGCCGTGGCTGTGGGGCCAGTTATGCTCTGGAAAGCCAAGCTGATCCCTAACTTCACTGCCTCCGGGGATGGACCAAGAAACCTCAGTCACACCCAGAACCTGCTGTCCAGGGCTATGACTTTGGTAAAGAATCCTGTTTCTCTGCCTTTGCCCCAGCCCTGGTTCTCTTCCTACTTAGGCCTTCCCCAACCTCCGGCTGATACTGAGGTGGCCCTGAGCCCCTTCCCCAGCCTCTGCTTGCTTCTCCGAAGCCCCAGGTTTCACCAACCCACCTAGAAAACTGGAGCCAGCAGCAAGGGTTCAAGAAAAGTTTGCAAAGGACCTTCTTAGTGCTGGCTGCTGAGCTGAAGGTAAAACTCACTGTGCTAAAGCTTACTCCCTCCTGAGTTAGGTAAGGAAGGCTTGCGGAACTTATGGTCTGCTCTAGACAGGATGGACCAGAACTTCCCCAAGGGTCTGGGCTAGCTCATAACTGATGGGTCAGGCCTTGTACCAGGCTTAGACAAACTCCAGATCAGTCTCTCCACTTCTTCCTTTACTGGCCCTTCCCCAGCCTCCAACAAAACTATCCATGCAGCAGGAATCAGAAGCAGTAGAATGAGGTGTCTTCATGCTTTCATCCCTCAAACTCACACTCTTGATTATTGTAAAATGAACAAGAGCATCATTGGGACAGAGCTAACGCTTTTATTCCTCAGAAAGACAGACTGAGGCAAAGGGAGGCCACACGGCTTCCCCGATCCACCCAGCAGCAGCTGTTCTGAAGCCCGAGCCTGCGGACTGTCAGGTCAATGCCCTCGTGCCACACCACACACTTCGTTACCGCCGCAGACATTTGAGTCTGTCTTTGCCCTTCTCTACCCTGGCAGGACTTGCTCCAGCTTGTCTGTAGGCATGGGTGCAGGGTGCGGAGGTCTTTCTGCCCCAGACTCACCTGTCTGAGTCCCTTTAACACCCACGCCGGATGCAAAGCCAGTAGAGACAGGACCGTTCCGGGCCTTGGCTTGTGTCCTGAGGACCTAAGGAAATATGCAGTGCAGCCTTGATGTACATACAAAGCATTATGGGAAGAAAGTATTGTTTTAAAAATGGTGGGGGAGTCTCTACCCCAGAAGAGATATCAAGCCAGTGGGGAGGTCATGAGAGCAAGTAATCTACTTAGCAAGAGGGATGGAGGCTCAGAAGTCCACAGAGGCACAAAGGAGCCAGTAGTTCAGATGAGGTTGGGGGGAGAGTTGTGACTGGAAAGTGCTTCATGGAAGCAGTGGCCTTTGAGCTGGATCTTGAAGCTGGGTCTGGAAGTAAAAGAAGGTGGGAGAGGCAAGGAGGTACCAGCATCTCATCGATGGGAACTCTGGAGCCCTAGGAGTCTCATGACAGAACACAGATGTGTCCCAAGCTTACAGATGGATAGGGCAGCATGTGAGGCTGGAAATTATTGTGTCTAATGTTCAGTGTGCAGTGAAGGGAAACAATTTACCCTAACCTTGTTGCTGTTTCCTTCCTCACAAACTAGTCTTCAAAGAAGTGGCTGATCCCTTCTTGCCTCATTCTCAAGAGGACTGAGTTCACAGACGTAACCAGGCCAGGAAGGTCATGAGATGTTATAAGCGAAAGGCATGTTGATGTCTTCTGGCCCAAACCCTCCACTTAGAGGTGCAGACAAGGCAGTGGCTGACCTCGAACGCTGCAGCAGACACAGGCAGAGCCAAGATGAGTGTGGGCAGGCGTGGGCAGGTCTGAGGGTCCTGTGCAGAAGGAACGGGGGGGGGGTATGTTGTTAGGTCTCTGGTAGAGTCCAACCCCATTCACCAGAAAGAGGATGGCTGAAATCATACCTGCTGTCCCAAGGGCTGATTGAAAACCCTGACTGTGCCAGAATGCTCCTTCCTCCCTCTGCAAGTGACAGGATGGATGGGCAGACCCAAGCTGTCCTCCGGGACTCAGGACATGCAATACAGGTGTCCTTGTCCCACATATAATGGATACTGTGTAAGCACTGTTCCCCTTCAGCTCACTGTAGGATCCTCACTTCTCCTCTCCTGACTGTCCAGGCCTCAGTTTTCTAATCTGTAACACGAGGAAGGTGAGTGAGCCCATCTCTAAGAGTCCTTCTAATTCCCAAGAGCTGCAAGAACAAATTCCATTAAAATTAATAATAAATGTTCTGCCCCAAAGACGGCTCTTCCCCTTTCCTAAAGCTCTCTCAAATAACATTGCCTTTCATTTGTATAGCAGTCTGGGGTTGGCAGCCAGAAGTGGGAAAGCTCTGACAGCGTCCCCCTGAAGCCCGGCTCTAAGGAGACACTTGCACATTCAGACAGACCTTGGGAGAAACTGGCTTCTGGAGAGATTTTGGTGAGGGACCAGCACATCAGAAGCACATAGGAACCCAGGGAGGGCGAGGTTCTTCTGCCTGCAGCCAAAGAATGTCAGGGAAAGAAATCTCTAACAGGCAGCCAAGGCTAAAAGAAAAACATTCCTTTGTGGGGAGAGGGGACACGGGTCCCCTCATCAGGCTGTGTTCTAGACCCCCGAGTCTAAAGAGAGTAAAGGTCACCAGAAAGCCTCATGCCCTCTCCTTGCAAACATATGGTTGCCTTTGATTCCTTAAAGCCAACTCCTCAGGAGACTACTAGTGCATAATGATGAGACCCATTTTACAGGTGGAGAAAGAAAGGCCTCAAAGAGAAGAGCACGGGCTTGGGTAGCAAACAGACAGAAAGCTCTTCTCAGCTCAGTGACCCTGGGTGGTTGTATTGCCATTAGCTTTGGTTTCTTCATCTACACAACGGTCCTAATTACAAGCAGACTTACCTTTGAGGACCAAGGTAAAGGTTAAGGTCATGAGTGTGGCATGTCACGAAAGCTACAAGGACACATCCTTGGGGAGTGAATGGGCTGGTAGCTCTTCTGAGGTGTGTTCGGATAAGACGTGGTATCTGGCAGTGACATCTCAGCCCAGAATGTGGCAGATGGTGCCCTTCCTTGCTAGCTACCTCCCGAGCCATGGGTTTTGGGCCTCTTCCACGTCTCTCTATGTGGCCTATGCCAGGGTCCCGTGAAGGGCTGTCTGACCCTCCTTGGCACTGGGATTTGCATTCCGATCATTCTGCTCTCTCAGCCCATCCACGTCCAGAGCTGTTTGGAGCTGAGTAAGGCCACAGGGATCATCTGCCATGACAACTCATAGAAGAGATAAGGCTGTGGGGCTCCAGAAGGGGCTGTAAACTCTTTGCCTGGGTCCCCACCGCCTGGCGGCTTTCCTCTTCATTGCTACAGATCCCTGTGTTGGCAAATGAAGAAACTGAGGCAGAGGGACCCCTGTCTCCGTTTCTCCAGCCTGTCAGTGAGTTATTAAATCTGTACTCTCACACCCCACCCCGAACTTCAGCGAGATCCCCAGTCCTGTGCTGTGCTTCAAGGTGGCATCCTGTGTTTTCTGTGTGCCCAGCCCAAGTCCTGCCCGCCACACTGGTATAGGACAAGGGCCATGAATGTCAAGATGGGGCAGGTGGCCTCAGCAACCGGCCTTGTCTTTCTCAGCCAGTCCCCAGTGCCCAGTGCTAACCCAGGAGGGACTCAGTGTCAGGAGTCCCTTGAGTCTTTCCCTTGAGTATTGGCTCATGTGTGCCCTGGGCCGCAGCAAATCCCTGCCAGCTTCTCAGATAAGCCAAATGCTGGAGCACAGGGAAGAAAGTGTAACCTGGGTGGGGAGGGAGTTGACTGAGCCCCCACCCTGTCACTGATTCTCCAAGTGTGTCCTATGAGTCGCTTCACCTCCTGTGCCTCAGTTTCCTTATCCGTGTGCTAAGGAGTAGGTCAGTAGGACCCAAGGTCCCCTCCAGCCTCAGCGCTACGACTGGGGCAAAGGGGAAAGAAAGGGAGGGGTTGCTCTTTCCACTCCTCCTTTTGGCCCTTTTCAGGACATTTGTGTCTCAAGCTCTCCCAAGTTTCCCTGTTTCAGCCCGTCCCTCTTTTTGCATCTCCTTTTCTGAGTCTGTGTGTAGCTCTGGTTTGTCTCCTCTAACACCCCCCCCC